AATGAGAACTCTAACCCTTTGGAGTAAAATACGAGAACATATTAAACTCGCAAACGCTCTAAAATATTCTACAATTAAAATCAGATTTTAGATGTTCTTTCATAATTTTTACCTTGAAGATAGAACATTGGCAGACTATGGAAAGAAAAGATAGATTATTTTCAAAGTTATATAACCATTAGAATTGTTATTTTAGTTCATTTTATAGAAATAAATTTGATAAATTTATTTTTTTTGTTTCAGCAAATGTACATACTCTTCATTTTTAAACTACGACTTCTAATGCATGAAGTGTATTTTTTGTGAAGGGCTTCAAATCTGACGTCGAGAACTTTAAGCTACTATCATCACCCCCTATCATTTTAAATATGTTTACACGCTGCTTGCTCATATATCTGTACAGACACGTCCAAGCAATTTTTCACAAATTGCAATACGGTTTTCGAAAGAACGGTCCTGCGTCAAACAGTTGCTAGTTTTCCTGTACACAATATACCTGTCTATTGGAAACCGAAGTAGAATCGATATTATTTTTAAATTATTTATACGAACTACGAAAAAGTTTTTTACTTTCATTGAATTTTGTTTTCTAATTTTTTAAGCTTGTAGTTAGAGGAGCATTCTAGAAACAGTTAAAAAACATTTTTCTAACAGATCCCCAAGAGTCAGAGTTGGTACTGAACTATCCAGTCTGGAAATAGTAGTAACAAGTTCTGTGCCACAAGGATCAATTCTAGCTAGTCTATTCTTTGTTGTTTACAGGAATCGCCTCCCTGAACTGTGCAAGAACTTCTGTTATGCGTTGACGATGCTAAAGTTTCTGCAATAGACAGATTCAACCAAGTTTCCACATTGATCTGTCCCGTGTTACAAATGGCGCGATGCACACAATCTACCTTACAATTCGAAGAAGTGCTCACACATTTCGATGTCCAATTCTCCGAAGTTTTATTGTCTCTAATAAGATGATAAAGAAAAAGACCGCTTCGAAGGATTTGGGTATTGAAATAGTTGATGACATGAAGTGGAACATTCTTGCAAATAACGCAGCAAGCAAAGTATTGAGGGTTTTGTTCATGTTAAAAAGAAGCTCGACATTACTGAAACCGAAGACTAAACTGAAGCTGTTCAAATCAATGAAATTTCCTGTTAAAATATATGGTAGCCCCTGCTGGTATCATTATGTCGAACCTTTGAAGGTGCCAGAAAATGTCCAGAAGAAATGTGTTAAGTGGATAAACAGCGGCTTCTGTTTTTGCCCGCCGCATCGAAATCGGAGTTGAGTACTCTCGATTACTAAAAAAACAGAAACACGCTCACCTCAGGCGTAAACAATTCAAAGCCGCGGAAGAATTATCAAGAAAAATCCGGCAACATTTTGTAAGCATTGCTAGGTGATGTCACAATAAGTAGCAAGTCTTGGTGGGAACGAGTAAACTATTTCAGTCGCAAAAAAACGACCTGCACCTTGAGCCAAGACTGTCATTTTACTGCTGAAGATCTACTAAACATTTACTACAATAGCATATCTTATAGTACAGTTGGAGCTACTTATTGTAGCATCGTGGAGCTACCAAAAATGCCGGCTCAGCAAATAGTTGTACCAGCAACCAACGGGTTTCAAACTTGTCATGCGCAAACACCCATCAAGAAGTCAAGCAACAGGACCCGACAGTATTCCATTCTGTTTCCTCAAAAAAAATTCTGTTTCCTCACTTCTGTTTCCTCACTTACTACGGTATTTCAGTAAACGATATCATTGTCTATGATTTAGATGGTAATATCTCTCTTTTTGCAGACGACACTACGCCGATAATACCAGGTTAATTCGACAGAGGTGATCAGTCATTTGCAGTTTTATCAGAATTACAGACTGCGTTCTCAGGCAGAAATCTCCACTTGAATAGCTCTAAATCCAAAGAAATGATTTTTTGTTCAGGAAATCTAGCATAGCGGTTTCTCCAGTTTTCAACATAGAGCAGGTGTCAGATGACAGACTTCTTGGGATAACATTGGATTCACAGCTGACGCTCAAGTCACATGTAGAGAAAACTGTACGTTTTGCCACATCAAGTTTATTTTTACTGCTAAGACTCGAACATCTCAGATACACTCAAGAAGAGCTGTCACTTCTTTATTCATCCCTAGTGCTTAGCAAACTTCTCTACGGTTTCTCAGTTTGGCGCGGAACCAGATGCGACATTTTGCAGGAGATCGATGCTGTTCAAAAAAAGGCCAAAATGGGGTATTATCAAACAATACACGGCAGTAAGACAGATTTTTCAAAAAACCCATGAAAAATTGCTTCGTCCCATTATTTCCCAGCCACAGAATCCCTTGTTTTCAATGCATTCTAAAAAACCGAGTGCTCGAACAGTTTAGGGCCCGGACTCCCTGCGACGTCCAAGAGTAAAACTGAGAAAGATTTGACTATATTTCCGAACCGTGCACTCAGAAACTACGATCAGTAACTGCTTGATTATAAATTTGTAATTTTGGTTGTTTAAAACAATTTTCGTTATTCTTCTTCTATTGGCTCCTAATGTTCGCGAAGTTTTTGCAAAGGTAAAATCTCTCTGCCGTGCGTTTCTGGAAACTATTGGTGGTTTCAAATTCTTCAGTTCGTCCCTGGCTGTTCTTCTGATTCCGCATGGTGGTCTTCGCCAGCAATCTCATTTTTTCGAATTCTAAGGCTGTTGTAGGTATCTCAAACTAGTTCATTCTTAGAACATACATGTTCTAGTCAACTCAGACGTCGGTTTCTGATAACTAGGAAGTTAGGTTACAAGTTGGTAGCATTGAGAATGTTTCCGATAGTCTTTCATACCCTTTCATTGGAATTTGCAGGCATTGTTGGAATGTTGTAACATTCGCCCGGAAGTACATATCGACGGAAAATAAAGCTAGGTTATGAAACGACTGGCTAGCGTCTAAACACAGCTCTACATGCTTGTAACCGTCTCTTCCAAAGCCCGTTCTTTGTGTGGTCCTTTTAACATCGGGTCGACAAACTCATTAGTTTTGGGCTATCGGCCAGAACGCGCAGATTAACTTAGTTACATGCAAAATAGTGAGCTCGTGGCTGGGTCTCAGTATCCCAGACCACGAGATCACTCTTAAAAACAGGGCTACTACTTATTTTTATATTACTATCAGTTTTATTCAGTAGATAAAAATCATCATATCCATCGGAGATGGATCAACCCTTTCCCTCAACTCCTAGCTTCTCATTATCTGAAAACGAATTTAGATGTTGTTAACTCAATTCAGGACATAACCGGAAGCCAAAAGTTGTTAAATTGGAGTTCCAGTTTTCTTCCCGAGACCCTTCTGGAATCTGGATGAAGAGAGGTCTTGTCGTCCTTCTGGAAGGGTGGTAAAATCTTCCCGATACCCTTCCGTATTCTCGGGAATTGTTCGTGAACGATTGTACAGCTACAATCGTTACAATCCGGACAGCTTCTATCGTAACCTCAATAGTTAATATTGCCTTGTCTTCGTGAAAATCTCTCTCTTCTGCTCTACTAGCGAAAGTCGTTGTTCTGATTTTCGCACATTATCAGTTACTGCGAAATTTTAAGATCGTGACGTCTTTATTCCAGAACGAATTTTTAAAAAAATTTTCGTCACTTCAAATTGACCTGTCCTGATTCGTCAAATTGTACGATTAGCACAGTTAATCTATCAAAACTGCCAATCTTCCCACTCGAATGTCACAATAAAAATTCGATATTGCCATGCATTTTGACTGCATTCTGGTCGAATGTCACATGTATGTCTCGTTTTAGTCTTCATTTTGCTTTGGCCAATGAGGCAAAACTCCTCTACCTTATTCAGGGATTGTGTTTTTGTTTCTTCAAAGGTCTTAAAGTTAAGTGAAGACGTTTAATAAGGTTGTGTAGTTTTTTCAGTTTTTTGTCAGAAAAATTTTTTCGTGATCTATTTTTCTCTTTTTTTTGCAACCTTACTTTGATTATTTTTAGTTCAATTCTCTTATTGGTCTCGTATATTGTAAAGATGCTTTGATCATATATATTTTTTCAAAATTATACTTTTGCTTCAAAGTGATACATTTTTTCAAGCAATCATTTTTTTTCCTGTTTTCCTTGAGTTCATTCACATTTTCCAACTGTTTGTTGGATATTTTTTGCTTTTCACTACGCAACATGTAAAATTGGACAATTTAAATTAACGCAGACAGAGTCGGTCACCTGGTGTGAAATTTTCGTATTGTTGTCTGGAAGTTGAGATTGTTTCTAGATTATGGAGCGCCCGCTTGTGGAAAGTCTCAGTAATATATATTGATGAATTCAGCGTGGGGGCCTAGAATTTTATGAAAATTGTTTTTTTTTTGCAAATTTTTGTTTGGGCGATCATTGCTTCATCGAGAAAAGCGACTTACCAGGGTTGATGCTCTAGCCTTGTATTTGAATATCAAACACGGTTCTTCGCAGCACCCTTATATTGTATGCAATACACTTTTCCTCCTTTGAGGACAGAAAAAAAGTAGCTTTATATGCCTATTGATTCTTTTCTGTTTTATTGATTCTTTCTCACTCTGATTGCAATTTTTGAGCTTTGATCTTGTAAATTTTGGCGTTCCACATTCGTTGGAGAATCTGTTTTATGATTTCATATCATCTAAACTATTTTCAAGTGCTTATAAACATGCCTCAAGTAACTATTGAGTTTTATCCCCCCCCCCCCAAAAAAAAGAGAAGGTAGGGGGGTGAGATTGCTCAATTGATCCGGCAAATTTTTTTACTGTGATTTCCGACGTCGTTTCGTTTGGAACAAGGTTCAAAATAATGTAAGTTTCTAAAAAATCCATATTTTTTTATGCTAGTCGCTTTGGTTTTCTAAATCTTTTAAACTGGAAATGCTCTGTCTTTTAGTTGTACATACCTGATGATGCTAGTTATAGCGAAAACGTTCTTTTTTATATTAAATTTTATTGATTTCAAACTGTTTCTTAAAGAAATTGAGATTTTTTCTAGATTATGGCGCCTCTAGAAGAGAAAACCAGCGTGGTTGAAAAGAAAGGCGACAGCGAAACAGATGCAAAAAAGAAAGGAGACTCAACGAAGAATGAATTGTCTGAAGAGGACAAGGCTTTGCAGGAAGAGTTGGAAACAGCCGTGGAGCAGCTAGAGAGTACCGACGCAGGAAAATGGGAGAACGCACTTGAACTGTTAAGGTCAAAATTGAGAGAGTCTACGAACTCAATGACTTCTGTTCCAAAGCCGATGAAGTTTTTGATGCCACACTTCGATAAGTTGAAAGATACTATTTACAACAAAATGACACCAGAGAAGAATCAAAAGCTTTGCGCTGATGTTGTGTCAGTGATGTCCATGGTGTGTTCTGAGAAAAACGATTGTTTGAAATTTCGAAAACTTGGATCACAAGAAGACATCGGCTCGTGGGGTCACGAATACGTACTTCACGTTTCTTCCGAAGTCGGTGACGAATGGTCATCTGACGATACAGACGACGAAAAGAGGGCGCTTTTGAAGGAAATTGTGGACGATATTGTACCATACTTTATGAAGCATAATGCTGAATCCGATGCCTGCGATATTTTGATGGAAACTGAGTGCTTAGATGATTTAGTGTCACATACAGATGAAAACACCTACAATCGTGTTTGTCTTTATTTGACCAGTTGCGTCAAGTATGTAGCAGAGCCAGAGAATACTAATTTGCTGAAGTGCGCCTATAAAATATATAGAAAATTTGACAAACTACCTGATGCCATGCGCTTGTCAATGTGTTTAAATGATACGCCGTTGATGATTGATGTTCTTGAGTCGGCTCCTAGTACGAAAATGCAAAAGCAGCTGTGTTTTATGCTTGGAAGACAGCAGATTTATCTGGAGCTGGAAACTATGAATTTGACCCTTGATGAGACTGACATCGATGAACTGAAAGAAATCATGACCAACGGAAAACTAAATGGAAATTTCTTTGCATTGGCTCGTGAGCTCGACATTATGGAGCCAAAGCTACCTGCTGATATTTACAAGGCGCATTTGGAAACGAACAAATATTTTAAGTAAGCTCTAATTAAAAACTTTTAACTAAGCTCTATCAAATTTATATAGCTTTGGAAAAATTGAATTGGGTTACAAATATTCGAACAGTGATAAAACGTTCAGTACAATTTGCTGCTCTATAATTTCAACGTTTTTTAGCACGGGCAATCAGCCGGACTCGGCTAGACAGAATTTGGCTTCATCATTTGTGAATGGGTTCATCAACTGTGGCTTTGGGTCGGACAAACTGCTGCTGCCAGAGGACGCTGGCAACAAGTGGATTTACAAAAACAAAGAGCACGGCATGATGAGCGCAACTGCTAGTTTGGGTAAATGTTCAGTTCTCTGGGGACGCCTTTAAGCAGCTAGATACCTTACTGTTTGTTCAGGAGGAAAAAAATTATCTGAACACAAGCTTATAGTCGCTTATACTTGCGGTAGCTAGTGTGTTGTTGAGTTTATCTTATGGGTAGAAACCTCATAGTATTATACTTAAAATCGAGAAGCTCGTGTGTTGTTAGGGTGTCTGCTGCTATGGGATGTGGACGGAGGTCTGACCAAGATAGACAAGTACCTCTATTCGACTGACGACTACATCAAATCGGGCGCCCTACTCGCTTGTGGAATCGTCAGTTCGGGTATCATGAATGAATGCGAACCAGCCCTGGCTCTGCTATCGGACTACGTTCTCAGTAACAACATGCAGCTCAGAATCTGCTCATGTTTTGGGTAAGCATCACTCAAATACCAGTCTTTTCAGTTTTAGTGTGAAAAGGACGAAGTGATTTTCACTTAAATAGGTCTTGATGAATTTTTTCCCAGGAAAAGTCATAAAAATTGTTCATGATCAAAGTTGATATTTTGCGGTTTGACTTTTGATTTTTTTTTAAATTCAGTTCATTTCCATTGTTAAAAGAAAGGAAAAATCCAGTATTGAACAGCGAAAGTGTAAAGGTGACGAAAAACGTGATAGACTTTTAGTTTCGATAGCGGATTTTAATGTTAAGATTTCCCAGTCGAGATAAAAAAAAATTACCTATTGATCCAATTTTCTCAAATTGGGCTTATTTTATCAAAACAAGCACCGGTCATATTTCTTGCAATTCAAAGAGCTTTACGGTCATATATGTTTAAATTTGAATTTCAAAAGTCTGGCTGCTTTTGTACCTAATAGTTTGTTTCCTACAAATTTCCGGTTTTATTGATAACTTTCTGTGGATCGATGAAAGATTGACAATTTTTTGTATCCTTATTTTTGAAAGCTCAAAATTAACCTCATAATGATCTCATTAAAAAACTTCAATACATTTAATCATGAACAAACTTCTTGTTTTCATTTTTTAAAGTCTTAGCTTTTCTAGATCCTTTTGCAATTTTTCCTTTCTTCGAAGTCATCTTTGCTACTTCTTGAGCACCATGCTGTTTTAATCCTATGCTTATTTTATTGCAAGTGGCTTGAAGCTAAGTTTCGCCACTGTATGACATTTGACTGGCAATATTGTTGATTTACTACTTACTTAGACTCGGCCTGGCCTACTGTGGATCAAACAGAGATGACGTTTTGGATCTCATCAAGCCAGTGCTCACTGACAAGAAGAGCACTCCAGAAGTGATGGGCGTGGCTGGCATTGCTCTGGGCATGATCTCTGTGGGACATGCTAATGCATCAGTGTCCGAGTGCATATTGGCGTTCTTGATGGAGAAAACGGACAAGGAGCTCGCGAATAGTTTCATGTTGTTCCTGGCACTTGCTCTTGGTCTGAACTACCTTGGACTTCAAGAAGAGTCTGAAGCGACGATTGCAGCCTTGGAAGTTGTCAAATATCAGAGCGAGATGTTCCAGAAAGTTGCTGCTCTTTTGTTGGAAATATGTTCCTACGCTACTACTGGTAATGTACTCAAGATCCAGAAGTTGCTGCATATTTGCTCCGAGTCTGCGCAACCAGAGGAAAAAAGCGAGGAGAAACCTGCTGGCCAGGGATCTAGCCAGGGCTCGGAAAAGAAAGCAGATAAGAAAGACGACAAGAGTTCATCATCGAAGGATGATAAAAGCAAAAAGGAGAAGGAAAAAGATGATTCCGGAAGTAAAATTGACCCCGGACTATATCACTCAGTTGCAACTTTGGGACTGGCTATCATCGCAAACGGGGAGGACATCGGATCCGAAATGGCCACTCGGACATTCGGGCACCTCTTGAGATACGGAGAGACATCAATCAGAAAAGCAGTACCTCTGGCTTTGGCTATGTTGTCGCCCAGCAATCCACAGTTACCTGTACTTGACACTCTTAGTAAGTTCTCACATGACACTGACGCAGAGGTGTCTGCAAACTCAATTCTGGCAATGGGTATACTTGGCTGTGGAACGAACAATGCTCGACTGGCTCTGATGTTGAGACAGCTGGCCCAGTATTACGCGAAAGACGCCAACAATCTGTTTATGACCAGGATTAGTCAAGGACTCACTCACATGGGAAAGGGAACCCTGACTATAAACGCGTTCCACTGCGACAGACTCCTTTGCAGTAATACCGCACTTGCAGGTAAACAAATATCAAGATATGTGGTCTTATAGTAATTTGTTCAAATGATGAAAGTTTTTTTGAGCAGATTCGTTGCTAAAAATTAAATAATGGAAGTGACAGTGGGCGTTTTTAAATTTAGAAAAATTCCATTTTTGCCGATAAGTTACATTCGTGGTATTTTGCTGTGTTCGAAGTTGTCATGATTAAGAAATTCTCATACAAAAAAATAAAAGAGCATAGTAATTGTTACAGTTTTTTTCTTTGCGTGGTCGAGAATCATTGTTGGCGCTGTTCATGACCGTTTGACGTTTGAATTTTTTTTTGTTGCTCAGGTGTGATGACCTTGCTGGTATCTTGCCTGAATGTGAAGGAAACAATTTTGGGAGAGGCGCACTACCTTCTCTACAGCATAGTGCCCGCCATCCAGCCCAGAATGCTGACCACTTTCGACGAAAACTTGAACCCACTTCCAGTGTCTGTCAGAGTCGGCCAAGCAGTTGATGTTGTAGGCCAGGCAGGAAAGCCAAAAACCATTACTGGGTTTCAGACTCATACTACCCCTGTGCTTCTCAATATCGGGGAAAGGGCAGAGTTAGCTACGGACGAGTACAGACCCCTCACACCTTTCCTCGAGGGATTTGTGATCCTTGAGAAAAATCCGGACTACAAGGAGTAGTTAATCATAAGAACAATATAATAGAGACTGTCTTGTTTGCTACTGCTGGTGGTAATTTTCGCCATAATTTAAAAACGTTGATGCAAAAATTAAAGAAAATCTATCGTTTTAAGTGAATTTCTATCAAAAAGTAAAACAAAATTCCGATGCTGCGATGTTTGGTTACCGGCAGTAGATTCAGAAATTTGAACCATTGATAGTCTTATCAATGATGCAATACTGTGATGATGCCGATTATTTGTGGTAATGAATTCTGGAAGAGTGAACTATTGCTGAACTGTGGTGAGATCTGAGATATAATTAATTACTGTGTAAAGTTTTAGAAAGTTGTTTTGTTGAAATTGACACAAATTTCTCATAGATTTTTTAAACATACAACATTACCATTGACCTCGAGACAAAAAAAAAGAAATATGGACAACAAAAAGAAACTTGAGGATTCTAAAACAATGTTGCGTCGCTTTCTGACGAGTTATTATACAGTAGAATTTGAAAATTAGCTTCAGTTTTGCTTAAATGAAGCTTAAGCTTCGGATATTCTGTGCTTATAAAATAGAATCACGCGCAACAATGTTTCTTGAGATTAGTTCACTTATCGGATGCACTTAACAATTGATACTCCAATTAGAAGGGAAGAAACAATTCATTCAAAGGGTTTGACGTAGTTCATATAGCACAGCTTTTTTCTCTTGCCGATTTACTGTAAACAACTGGATCGAAAATTGTTAACTAGAATCATTGCTCGATAGACGGCAAATTGTGTTCATGCAACTACTCTTCTCGTCAAATATGCATCGAATTCGAAGGGGGTGGTTTCAGGATATTGTTGCTGTTGAAGGGTGGGTGGGGGGGGGGTATTAAAATGGGAATCGGATCCTGCGGTGGTGTGTGTTATATGTTCCTGTTGAATGACCCGTTCTTCCGCTCTTCAACCTGCATAGAACACTTAAGGTCTGACCCACTCCTGCCGAAGTTAGTTCTCTGGGTCCTCTTGCCAAACGAGTCCATCAGGTCCTGAAAATCAGATTCATTTGCACTGGTTTTTAATCTAATCAAAGGTGACCATCTAAATGATTTTGTCTGCATAGATAGGCATGCTTGTGAGAACATTGTTAAACGGTTATAATACTTTTTTTCGCAGAGCAATTTGCACATTCAGGTGCGAAATTTCATAATAAGATCATCAAAACAGTAGTTTTGAATGAACATTTAATGGTACTTTTGCAGATATCGCTGCCCTAACTTCAAAAGGCTCGAGTAATGTTGGTAAAAAATTTTTGAAAAAAACAGCTAAATAGAAAAAACGATATCATGAATTTTGTAGAGAGATGTATATCCGATCTTCTTTTTGGAGTGCTATAATTTACTATGTTCCAATGAGTGCTGTAATGCCCAACTTTCAATAAATTCAAAAAATGAACTGAAAAACTTTAGTTAGACAAAGATAACGTCTGAAAGTCGCTAGCCGTTGCCTTCCTTATCCGGTTCAAATGCAAAACTTGTTTAGTTAGCTGTTACAGCCTCTACTCCAAACGAATTCGAAATGTGAACAAGACTGCTCGTATCAGGGCGAAGCCCTGAATGTTCTGACTGGCTTTTAAGGTTTATGGAGTAGTATAGCATTAAAAAAATTAATGAAATAAAACAAAATGAAAAACTTTTTTTTCTAAAATTTGAAATTTTTAAATAAAAATCATCACCCCAGACGCCATATAAAGTACAAAAGGATAGATTTCGCTCCTTGTAAAAAATGACTTATGGCAAATAAGCTTCTTTCAACCAATTTGGAACGAATTCTAAGACGGATTAAATCTCTGCTTACAGGTTAATAGCGCTCATTATATCGCGCGTTAATTTTCCCAAGTTGACCAAAATGGCAATTTTTAGACCCCCATAACTAAAAAAAAAGATCACAGGTGAAATAATTTTCAAATTTAAGCTCAGGACAACAATACTTTTTGAATGATATACAAAAAATTCCGTCAAAAATGGCTAGTTAAAAAGTCGAAATTTGTCTGAAGAAAAAAACCCACCCCGAGCACAAATTTCCGTTACTTTCGTTATAAAAGTCGGAACAAAAACATTTGCATTTAAATCAGCATTAAGACCATTTTGAACGAATTGATTTTTTTTGTCTCGTGTTTTTTGTGTTTTTCATTTGAAACAGTTTTTTTGTGGTTTTTGATTTTTTGATTTTATTTGGTTAGAGGTTTGAAAGTTGACGATGCATAAATTTTCTGAACCTTTAGTATGCGCAATTTTACTCAATTAGCTATCATGCTCGAGCGATTTTTATTTGAGCGCAGCAAAGTATTTCGGTTTTACCTCGCTTAAATAATCATTCCAAGGCTAATTAATCCCAATATTTCACTAACTTGACTTTTCTTGTTTCAAGGAACAACTGTATTTTACGCCAAAAAGCATGTAATTCAAGTGCTTAAATCAATAGTTCTTGAAATTTTTTTCTTAAACTTTTTAAATTTTTTTAATTTGTAAGTTTTTTTCACAAAACTTGAATTTGAACTTCACAATTTGACTTTTTCCGGGTGAATATATAGAACCGTTTGGTTCTGTGATCTTGTACATTAATTCAATTACCAAAAAATTTACTAATTAATCAGATAATTTAATTTTATGAAATTGAAAAAACACTGAGCAAAAATTCCCGATACAGAATTCAAAATGCAACTAATTTCAAGTTTAACAGGTATCTAAAGATATAAAAATAATAATTAAAGTCCTTGTAGTTTCTCCATAAATTAATTCTACACTAATTTTTCTTTTTGAAAATAACAGTCTTTGGAGTTTCAAAATAAAACATTTCAAAATTTTACCTTAGGCAGGTTTTTTTACAGCGAATTTAAAGAAGGCTTTTTATAAAAGCTTTTCACTAATTTTCAAGATATGAAGTGTAAATAAAAAATTTTCATCCAATTTTGTAATTTTTTGTACAAATGGCCGCTTTTTACTTGAAGTGTAAGAAGAATTAGGGCTCGAAGTTTACTGGCTGAACATATAATGCTCACTCACATACTTGCAAAATCAGCCTATCATACTTAATCACATTAGAAAAGTTGTTGTTTTTTAATCAGAATTGAGCCCAAATTTTTTTTTTGGACAGCATGATCTGAAATACTAATAGAAATCTTTCATCCATTTTTTTTTTTACTTTTGCGTTGTCCAAATGGTTGTATTTTGCTCAGTGTCTGTATTTGGTTGTATATTCAGAAAAAGATATGGCTGAAATTACTCCTTTTTTGAAGTTTAAGAAGAATTCAGTTTCGAAGTTTACTGGCTGAAAGAAAAATGCTCATTCACAAAGATGTCCTAAAATTAACTTATTGTACTTAATCGCATAAATAAACTAGACCGCTCGTATCAGGGCGAAGCCCTGAATGTTCCGACTGCCTTTTAACTTTTATGGAGTAGCAATAACATAAATATCACTAACAAAGAGAATGTAATAACATAAAATGAAATTTTTTTTTTTCAAAAGTTTAAAAATTTTTCTATGAAAAGCATCCCCTCACATGCCATATAAAGCGCCAAAGAAATTATTACGCTCCTTGTAACAAATCAATTATGGAAAATATGCTTCTTTGAACCAATTTGGAACGAATTCTAAGACGGATTAAATCTCCGCTTACGCGGTAATAGCGCGAAAATATCGCGGAGTTAATTGTCCTAAATTGGCCTAATTGGCAACCTTTAAGCCCCCATAACTTTACAAAAAATGATCACATGTGAATTATCATTTCAAATTTAAGCTCAGGACAACAATACTTTTCGAATGATATACAAAAAATTCCGTCAAAAATGGCTAGTTAAAAAGTCGAAATTTGTCTGAAGAAAAAAACCCACCCCGAGCACAAATTTTCCGTTACTTTCGTTATAAAAGTCGGAACAAAAACATTTGCATTTAAATCAGCATTAAGACCATTTTGAACGAATTGACTTTTTTTGTCTCGTGTTTTTTGTGTTTTTCATTTGAAACAGTTTTTTTGTGGTTTTTGATTTTTTGAAGCATGCGTTTTACACAAACCTAGATAAGTTCATTGTAAGTGTTTGAATTATTTGTTATTTTTGCTAAAATCGAAGGAAAAAATCTGACGTTTTAAATATTCTGAGTTTCAAAAAACACTCTTGGTATTTTACTTGGATTTAAAGTTCAAGGTATAAATTTAGAAAAAACTGAAAATAAAATTTAATTTTAGTTTTTAGATTTATCAGACTTTCAGGCATATCCTTTAACTTATTTGGTTTTTTTCCAAGCAAAACCAGGTACCACATTGATAATCTGTATCGTTCGAATGATACATCATGTTAAAGCCCTCTTTGAATTACGCATCACAAAAACAGTGTGTTTCTGTTTCTGCTGGTATTGTTACATGTATAATTGTGAAAAAGTTGAAACTTTAATCTTCGCTTAGTCATTTTGACCATTTATAAACAAAACAAATTGCCCAAGAATGGAACACCAATTGCGACTGAATACTAGGTGGATTGGCTTACATTCAATGCCTCAGAGTTTTTGGCAGAAAGGCTATTAATTTAAACCCCGGTTAAATTTCCCATAAAAAGAGCTATAAGCATTTCAGTTTTTCTCGCCAGTTTCCTGTACTTTGCCTTTTTTGCTTCAAGTGTTTTTCGAAAAAGGTCTAGAACATTTCAAAAAAATCCCTTCTAGAAGATCCTCGATCCACCTCTATAGTCATGTATAAGACTTTTTTCTATGAAAAAAACTTTACTGACAAATCTGACGGCAACAAGCTGATGACAACACAGAAATGGGCTTGATTCCGATTGAAAACTTATTTAAATTTGATTGTCGCTTCATTTTTTGCCTGCTTACTGTTATCCGCTGATTTTCCAAATCATGGCGTGTTATTCTATGGATTCTAAAATAGTTACACAAGCAAAGGCACGCCAACAAACCGAAAATTAATTTTTTTTCCCAAGCGAACAGTTTTGTTTACGTAATTTATCCTACAGCTTAAATCAGCAGTTCATCAACAGCAAAACAGGCGCGCTCACCATAAAAAACTTTCTTAAGGTATACTTGATTATGATTACGTAGCAGTATTTAGACAACCGCGTTTTTTTACTTGTTAGTAAGCAGACAAATACTGTACTAACCAATCATAATCAGGACAGGGAAGAAATTAATGAATCATAGTTATTTGTTTCGAAAGTTTGCTTTCTGATCTTGATTCTGATTGGTTATTACAAAATTTGTCTGCTTACTGACGAGTAGGAATACGCGTCTGTCTAAATACAAACCCCACTCTGTTAAAGACATAGAAGCTTAGAAATAGAAGCTCATGTCTGTTTGCCCAGTGTTTTTAATGTTGTTTTGCATCTGCTCGGCGAAGTTCTTCGAATTGAGGTGGTTTTTTTATTCAGCTAATTTTCGGCGATCGAAATAATAGATTTCAACAATAAATTTTATACCCCATTGAAGATATTAACTCCTTGAAATCAAATGTAAACAAGTTTTATCTCCAATAATTGTTTGCAAAGTCTGTCTTATGAGTTTGAAAATTGCCAATTTGGCCATTCTCTGGACTAATTGATGCGCGTTTTGAAGATTTTATTCATAATGCGGAAAAGATGACGCGAATTGTTTATGCTTGGTGAGTTATCTGACGCAACAAAATTCTTCCAATTTTTTTGAGGCTTGCTAATCGGTCGTACTAACTTTGTATGACTCAAAACTTTACACTTGATCTTCAATTTTGACCAAAATTTAAAGTTTTTCATTATTTTTTTCCAAAACTATTCGACATGGATTGAGTGACACTGCGAACACTCAGGGCTTTTTCCTCCTTTAACCTCAAGTATGCATGCATTTATAGTGTAACTAGCGGTTTTACAAGAATGAATATGAAAATTGCGTTTGTACTGCATGGCCTTAATTTTACGCTAGCCAAGTTTCGCATGAATCGGAAAAATTGACCAGAATTATTTTGTTGAGAAAATCGCAGGTGAGAGAAAATGAAAAACAGCCTCACTCCACAACACATTTCACTCTCAACTAAATAGAATTTGGATTTTCTTCATAAAATTATTCTTAAGAGAGTATTCAGTTTTTCATTATTTTTAGAATATTGGATACTTTTTGGTTATCAAATTCAAAAACTTTTCAGTTTAAAACTGAAATTATTTAAACTTAGTTCTTGTATCTAAAACATTACTGATGAAAAAGAGAAACTTCAGGATTTCAATCACGTAACAATCTTCTGAACAGTTTTTTTTTCTGTTTTTGCTCGTTTTTCCCCTCAAATTCGTAATAGGAAATAGGCTTCAAGCAAAAACTTGAGAACAAAAAAATTATGTCAAGTTTTATGATGTTTCAGACTTTTCTACAAAACTTTTAAATCTAAAACAGCGGCTAAAAAGAAACTTGCAAAAATAAGCTTCCCGGCGACAGCAAAGAAAATCAAAAGCAAAATTAGATGATAAAAACCATTCTGACAAAAAACCATTCTGTTGCATTATAGAAAATTTCAATTTTATTGCATTTCAAGTTGTGTAATCTACTGTTTTCAACCTTCATGTAATATTTTGTCCTAATGATTTCATTAGTAATAAATGTTTTTACTCTTTATAGTTAACTGTTCATAAGCCTTTGATGCTATATGTTCTGCAAAACTATGTGTTGTGCTGGAAACTAGAAACCTAAAAGGCTTGCAACTATATCCTACTCATATATAAACAAAAGCATGCCATGCAAGTCATACCTTCTGTGGTGCTCGGGTTTTGTTCTAAAAATTTCACTTACCAAACTTTGAAATAACAACATCGATTTTGGAACTCCTCATTATTCCATAAGTTCCTCTTTGATTGTCATAGAAAGTTTTGGATCGCCCAGAGTCAAGTGAACTTTTTTGCCATGATTCAAACCTTGAGACTGTTTTTTTTTAAATTGAAGTTAGTAAAAAAATTACGGTTTGTATGAAAAAAAATTGCAGCAAGATTCAATTGCCCGAAACGCAATTTTGTGATTATCTAAGTTCCGAACTCCTGCATTTACGTAGCAATTTGGTACTCTTGTTACAGGTTAAACATAATTCATAATGAGGCTTCGAAACCTCATCATAAACAAACAAACAAACAAACAATCATACCTTGCTCTTGTAATCTCCTGGTTTGTTGTTTCGGGGTTTCTCGTTCAGCTTCCACGCGTTCTCCATCATCAGGGCGAAGTAGGCGTCGTTGTCTATGGAGGCGGAGATGCCAGCGTAGTAGCTGAAGAACTCCTCCTTCGTCACTGTGTCGTCCTTGTTCTGCGGATCATCGAAGTTCGCTACAACCAAAGAAAACAAGGATAGCCGGTAGACAAAAAAAGTTTTTCAAATTAGTTATGTGGTTTTTTTTTGCGTGGTGTGATAAAAAATTGAACGAAAAAATAGAACTTAAGCATATTCGACATTCATAGCAAAATAGGCCAATTGCAAAAAAGTTTTGTGGAAAAATGACTAGACAAAAAGAAAAAGAAAAACAAAAAATAAATATTTTGAAAAATTTCAAAAAATTTTTTGCAGAAATGTTTGATTCCCAAATTAGCGCTAAAAGACTCCAACGACCAAGTTTTTACGGCTTAAACTAAGGATGAAAAAGCTTTTGTAAGCTTGCTTAGCCTCACCTTTTTAGCTTGAAATTAGACCAACAATCAAAAATTTCAGACTGGTTTTTCTCAACACTGAGAAAATTTATTTGTTCAAAACTTTTTAAAGTCGTTCGAATCACAACTGAGAAGGCTTTAATATGATATATTACTCGACTCATTCAGATGATTATTTGTGGTACCTAATTTTTCGTGGAAAAAAAAACCAATACACACTCGAATACAAAGTTCCTCCACATTTTTCAAATCGTCGGAACAATCTTCTGAACAGTTTTTTTTTCTGTTTTTGCTCGTTCAGGAAAAAGCATCTCACTTAAAATTTGCGAGTTTTTCTCAATATAAGCCCCTCAAGCCTAGTGAAAAATTAAGACCCCATACAATTAACAATTGGGTAGGGGGAGGGGCTATAAGTGGGCCGTAATGGAAAAGAAAGCATTTCATATTGCTGTGTTTACAGAGGCGGATCTAGGATTTTCTCGGGGGGGGGGGGGGGGTGTCGGATTTTCGAAAAACTTTAATAATTTTGTCGATCTTTTATTTAGGTCGACCAAATTAATTTATTAATTTTTCGAGCTCTCCCTAAGCTGGTTTAGTCCCTGTTTTGGCCAAATTTTCTACGCGGCAGGCAAAATTTGAAAAATTGGAAAACAGTCCAAAAAAGGCATTTTTAGGCACTTTTTGGAAAATTTTGACCAAACAATCGCGTTTTTTCGGCGCGCGCTCCTCCCTCAAAATTAGTATATATTGGCGCCAAAGGCGCCTTTAGAAAACTTTTAGGGTTGGTCGGCCAAAACTGGATTTCTTAAAAGTACCAAAGGGGGACCCTTTGGGTTGGCAGGGGATCGAATCCCTGAGGGGGAAGCGTCCGCCCCCCTAAATCCACCCCTGTGTGTTTATATTAGTTTTAACTCATTTATTTTTTTTGGTTGAAAGATTTTGCATTGGCAATTCAAAACCAGCGTAGTTTGTTATCTAAGTCTATTGGCCATTAATTCACTTTTTTGGAAATTTAAAATATGGTTTTGATCATGGGCGAATTTAGGATTCGACCTCTACCAACCAAAGGGTCCCCATTTGGTATTATTTTATGACATCCATTTTAGGCCAATCAACCTTAACATTTTTCTAAAAACGCCTTTGTCGCCAACATACACTAATGCTGAAGGGGAACGCGCTGAAAAAACAATTTCTTAGTCAAAGTTTTCCAAAAAGTGCCGAAAAACGGCTTTTTTACCTGTTTTTTCAAAAAATTGGCTGCGGAGCAAAACTTGTCGTCAAAGTTGCGTTTTTATAGTGTTCTGGGAGTACTCGGAAGATAATTTTGGTAGACCTAAAAAAATCGACAAAGTTTTCGAACAATTTTCCGAGCTACCCCAAAGCACTAAAAATCCCTGTTTTGGCCTAATTTGAAAAAAAATGGCCATAAAGGCGTTTTTAAGCACTTTTTTGACTGAAAAATCGCATTTTTTTGGCGCGCGCTCCCCCCTCAAAATTGAAATTTATTGGCGCCAAAGACGTTTTTAGAAAACATTTAGGGTCGGCAGTGATGGGGGGTTCTAGGTTCAGGGGGGGGGAGAGACGTCCGTAACCCCGCCCACCCCCTAAATCCACCCATGACCTGAACCTAGAAAAGTTTCTTAAAGTTTTTTTTTACATCTAAAGCTCTTGTTTTCTGGATCAAGGATGATGTTCGATATCCCAAAAAAAGGTATTTTCCAAACCACTTCCGCAATCAAATTTGATGGCGACATAAGTGGCTGATCTCGGCCCGGGTATAATGATTAACATTTTGAGCCTTTTGATGGCGACATAAGTGGCGGACCTTGGCCCCGGTTAAACTATTCCAGTATGAGCCTTACCTAGGAATGCGCCGAGTGCCTCGTCCTCTGTCCATTCTCCGGACACCACCTTGGGGTGCTGAGTCACATCATACACTCCATGTAGATCTTCCACTGTAATATTTCCACTCTTGTCTTTGTCTAGTTTCTCAAATGCACGCTGCACAAACTGAAAATCATACCGATCAAAGCCATCAAATAGGAAGAGTAACATGTTGCTCTGAAAGCAGCACAAAAGTTTCTACCTCAAGATTACAAAAAAAAAGTGTGTTTTTTCTAATTTTGTCATTTTTTGTTTGTGGTAAAAGAAAATTGAAAGCTTAGAGTTTAAGCATATTCGATAGTACGGTAAAGAATTAGGAATATTCAACAAAACAGTTTTTTTTTTTCAAAAAAATTGCAAAAATTATTTAATTTTCAAAAATTTATTCCCATGAAGGCAAGGCGCTGAAAAAAAGTTTAAAAACTAAGATTGCTGAAGTAAAAAAAAACCTTTTCAAACCTTATTCAAGAGCTAATCACCCTACTATAAGCCTGCTCGCTCGCTTTATTCTTGACAATGAGTACAATTTTTGAAAGTTTTATAAAATTGTTTGTCATCACTTTCATTGGTCGTAGCAACAGGGATAGCCAATTTTTGTGTAAATAGCATTGAAAATTCCGACCCGACAACACACATAAACAAGCATAGAAAAACTAACGTTTTTATTTTTTCTTTTCAAAATTGTGCCATTTTCTATGCGTGGTGTTATGAAATGGCAGTCAGAAGCTGAAACTTTTAGTAATTTAATTTAGGCAACTTCAGTTTTTTTTTAGAAAAAAAATTAAACAAAAAAATTCTCACTTTCGGCGGATTTTTTTTATTAGTGAGGCGCTAAATGAAGCTATGAAAAAATGTTTTCATGGGCTGAAATTATATATTTTTCAGGCTTATTAAACCGATCTTTATCTAATTAATGTTACTCACGCGCTTTAGTCTCTCGAAATTAGTCTAAAAAACTAGAATTTATAAGCCTTTTGTTCCAGTCATTGAGTGAATTTTATGAAATTCTTTTGAATCACGACTTGATGTAAGTTAAAATAATATATCACTCGACTAGTTCTATTTTTAATTTTTGGTACCTAATTTTGTGTAGAAATTTTTTTGATAATAAACATTCGAATACAAAGCTCACCCTTTCATTGATCGGAACATTAAGGTATTATCTAGAGTACATGTTAAAGTGTATTGAGCTACAAGCTTCGAGAGCGCTAGGGCGAGATCTATGCCTTAGCTGCGAGATTGACTTTTAACTGCTCATTAGATGTTATAAACTAGTTGTGATACATATGAGCGTGTGCATGTGATTTTAAATGCCTTTCAGCTTGAATCGCGTTGTGTACACATTTTTTCTCAGTTCCTTTGCTGCTTTTTTCGCTTATCTCCGAGTTGCAGCTTCACATTTGTGTTAATTTTAGTTGCGTGACCAGTTTCTCGCCAATCTAATAATTAAAATTGTCGTTTATGCGATTCGCAGAGGATCTATGAACTTTGCAGCCTTTCTATGCATAGTCCGTTTCTCTTGATTCCTCACGTTCCAGACTGAGTTCTTTTGTTGAGTGAAGCTCTTTTTTTGTGACTCAAGGTCGTTTTTTTGCACTTAGGATTTTCATGTGGTATCACTAGTGCAGCCGAAATATGGATGCATGAAGGGCTTCTATTGCAACGCAAGTAGAAACTTTGCCCGAAATAACTGATAGGAGGAAATAGCCGACCTTTTCTCTCTTGGGGTTGAGGCAGTCGCCCCTGAGTTTGAGGAGGAACTCATCGTAGTCCACCTCCCCCGACTGGTCTCTGTCAAACACTTTGAAGGCCTGCTCCAACTCCTGAATCAGCACAAACGCACATACTTTTTTAAAGAACCTAATGTACGAAAAATTTTGAGCTGCAGACGAGTTTTTGAAGAAAAAAAATTGGCTAAAAACGACCAATTTTGTGTTCGTTTATGGAAGCAAACTTCTTGGTAATAATAATAATGATACTTTGTTTTCAGGCTAGTATACCAGTATTGCTTGTTATAAAACCGCATTTACAACCATTAAACATTAGCCTGAGAGATAGTCATGAGACCTTCTGGTCTGTTTTCAGACTTCTCTACGTTAAAAAATAAAAACAGTAGATGTATACCTCTTTGGTGAGTTGGCACCCGATGTCACTGACTCCCTTGCGGAACTCGGAGAAGGAGATGCTCTTGGATCCATCGTCGTCCATGTTTCTAAACACCAGTCCGATGTGTTTGATGCCCCCTGGGCCCCTGGATAGTGCAGTCAGTCTGATCTTGTCCACCGGGTCAGTCGCACTCTTCAACTCCTCCTTCACCTAAAATACAATCACACACATACAGGATTTCCGTTGCAGATTACCCCGACTAGAAAAAAATTGTCATACATTTTCTTCTACAAAAGTCATGTTTTACATTTTCCTATAAAAGTCATATAATTTTTATATTTTATCTTCGTATTTTTCATGTTAAACGAATTGAATGGAATTGTATGACTTGAACTTTGAGTATATGAAGGTCATCAAGTGTCGAATGCCAAAATGTGATAGAGCAAATGTTCCATCTTAGTGCACACATCAGAAGCTCCTAAAAATTGAGTGTACTATGAAAAAATTTTGACTCAATCATTTTGAAAATTGGAGAGCCTTAATAAGGCGATTACCTTGATTCAAATCAATATACAATTAGTTTTGTATTAGGGTGGTTTATTATTTTTACGTTTTGTTTCACCCAAAATTAATTACGACAAATAAAGGTTAGATGTATGGAATCGAGTGATTTATCAAGTAAACGTCCTTTTAGTTGTGATTTGATGGATACTAAAAAAACTTCAAAAACTTTTTGTGTCGAGAAAAGCCATTTCGACAATTTAAAGAATTTAAGCCAGCAAGAGAAAGATTGTTGATTAAACTAGGAAAGGTACGTTTAAAGCTACTACTACGAAATAGAGTATACTGGAATAAATATCACCTGAAAGGTAACAAAAATTGAAAGTTTTCTATTTTCTGATCTAATACAGTTCTATTATATCTCTTCAAATATGGCCATTTGAAAATCGCCACCTATCAAAACAGTCTTTTTTCATCCTCGTCTTTTAAATGCTTCATAGGCGCCAAAAGTTTTAGCAACACTAAAATTTATGTCAAAATCCATGAAATATTTTTGAAAATGCTGAGTTTAGCTAAAAGTCTATTAATTTTTGCTTTCATTTTCAGAAAAGGTCTAGCTAATTAGTTTTTCTCAGTTTATTTCGAGTCTCTATCCTCGCATGCACAAAACACGACGTTTTTTGCTATATATATATATATATATATATATATATATATATATATATATATATATATATATATATATATATATATGTATATGACTAAGTATAAATGGTCAGAACCATCTGCGCAACTTCAACTGCAACCATTCAATCTTTTGTTGAGATGTTTTTTGAGTTTTTCAGATAAGTTTTGAGAACTATTTTTGATTTTTGATCGATTTTTTTGAGAAGCAAAAATCGTCTTGCGACAATAAAGAAAAGCTACTTTTTTGTCAGGTAACGAATCGTGACTGGCCATAATTGATGAGGTACAAATAGCCAGCAATAACAAGTGGCAATAACAAATCCCCGCTCTGGAATTTCATGGATAATAATCGATTATACTGTCATTTTTTAGTCAGTATCCATAAAACTACTAAAGTAATCGATTAGAATTGATGATATGGATTATAATCGTAATAGTTTAGTCCACCGCCACCGTGTGTGAGAGGGGGCGGGGTGGGGTTGCAGGTAACTGGACTGTTTATAGTGGGGTTAAGGTATTAGAGGGGTTAAGCAGGAGGGGGGATCGGTGGTGGGGGGGGTAAATCAAGGTGGGATAAATTAGGGGTGGGGTGAAAAACTTGGAGAGGGGGTGGGTCAAACTTTTTTATGAACATGTTTGTTTGTGTTCTAAATTAAGCTATTTTCTGCAGAAAAAAATCGCTTTTCATGGATTTTTAAAGCCTAAAAAATTGATTATACTGTCAAAACAATCGATTATAATGGACTTTAAAATATTGAAAAAAATCGATTATAATCCCCTAAAAATCCATTTTCATGGTTGGATGGGTCATCAAAATTGATTATATGGGTTAAGTTTTTTGGCGATATAATCCATTATAATCGATTATTTCCAAAGAAACTCATGTGAGAGTCATTTTATATAAGTCCAATTTTTTTTTTCTAATTTCGCTTTTTACAGGTTTTTTTAGCCTTTAGTTGCTGTGTTTGCAAAAAAATTTTCGCCTAGTTGTTAAGGCTGATTTCGAACGTCTGTATAGGCTAAACAAATAATCGAGTTTTAAACACTTTTATCGTCGTGACCAAACTATAAAAAACAGTTATTAGGTTTCCTGCATTCAGAAACAAGACTTACTGTTGGTTTTGGCTTAGCGTTTAATGACGCAAAAATATTTCCCATAGTTGTTGTTCCGACCATTTGAAACTTATGGAGGAACTTTGTATTCGGGTGTGTTCTAGTTTTTTTTTGTTCTCGACACAAAATCAGGTACCACAAATAATCATCGAAATTGGTCAGGTGATATATCATATTATAGCCCTTTCAATCGTGATTTGAACCAATTTGAATTTTTTTTAAAAAGCTTCTAAGTGTTGAGAAAAACAGATTTTCGGCCTAGTTTCAAGCTAAGCGGTCTTACAAAAGCTTGTTGATGCCTATTTTAAGCCGTGAAACTTTAATTGTACTTAAGTAAAACTAATCTTTGGAATTTTGTAGCGCCAACTTTGAAATCAAAACATTTAAATTTAAAAAGTTTCTGAACTTGATTTTGTAACAGTTTTTTTTGTTTTTCTAGTCAGTTGTCTGCAAACTTTCTTTTCGTTCAGATTATGCCAAAGATCTATTTTTCAGAGCTTTTTTTATCGCAACAAGCAAAAAAGTAATTAATTTGAAAGAAAAAGATGTATTTGTTTCAAGACTATGGTCGAAACATTCTATGCTACAAGCACAGTAACCGACTGTTCTTGTTTTCATTTGGTTAAGTCTGTTATTTTATTCGAAAAATTTCTTAGATCAATAAAAAATGGCAAATACTTAGGTATAATAATTCGGTTGCCGTAAAAAAAGCGAAGAAGATGGTTGTTATTCTTGGATTTTTGTTGTTTTTTTTTTACTTTTAAATTGTTCGTTCTAAATTTTTTGTCATAAGCTAAAGTTTCAATTTGTTTTTGGTATTTGTAAGGATTTGTTTCATTTGAACAGTAAGTAAAAGACTGGATGTTTTTTGATTGTTTCATGATTAAGCACATTTTACAATTGGTTTATTCGATTGTCTTCTAAGCAAGTATATGAATGGCAGCCAAGTTCAGTTTGAATCTATTGGATTCAACTTGAAATCGTTGATTTTATAGTTTTTGACTTACTTTTGTTGAAGAATGAAAATAAAATGTAATTATCATTTTTTGTTGCTCAATTATTTTTCGTGTTTTTTTTCTGCTATTTACTAATCAATTTGATGAGCTGTTTTTCCTAGCCAAACGAAAGTAAGTTTCCAGATACGAAATATTTTGAAAGACTTTGGGAAAATTGATTGCCATCAATGTAGGAATCTGTTATGTATTGTTGTCAGTTCAAAAACTTTTATAGAGATAATTTTATTTGGCTGCTGTGAAACGAACCCATTTTTTTCGGTATTTGTTAGGGTTTATTTCAAATGAAAAATAAGTTAGAAATAGAGGTTTTAAGTTGTTTCATCCTTGTGCGCATTTTACAAATGGTTTCATTGGTTGGCTTTTGAGCAAACAAAAGAAGTGCAGCCAATTTCAAAACGGGTTTTGGGTTCAAGATGAAATTTTTGTTGCTTTTGTTTTTTTGAAAACTTTTTGCTGATAAACAAAAAAATTATTCACAACTTTTCCATTTTGCTTTAATTTTAGTTTTTATTTTTTTGCGAGTGGATCGCGCGCCAAAAAAACGCGATTTTTTTATTGTTTGGTCAAAATTTTCCAAAAAGTGCCCAAAAACGCTTTTTTTGTCGGGTTTTTTTAAAAAATTTGCCTGCTGCGCAAAAAAAATTGGTAAACAGGGTCTTTCTAATGATTTGGGAGAGCTCGAAAAACCATATGGTCGACCTCAAAAATTTTTTAAAATGGTTGACCAGAATTTCAAAAAACATTTGAAAATCCCCCCCCCCCCTCGAGAAAATCTTGGATCTACCCCTGAATCCTTTATAAAGATTAATATTTGTTTCTAAATTTCATTGTAAGAATGTGCTAAAACAGCGCCAAGAACTTCAATTTTTGCATTTTATTTTTTGGAAATTGGCAGACAAGTTAATGTTGTTTTTAGACCAATTTAAATCTTTTTTATAAAAAATCTTTTTTTCATAGAGTATTTCTCAAAAAATTGGCGCTTGTGGGCAAAAATAAATTTCAATTTTTGTGGTCTGAGTTTGTAAATTAATTATAAACACTTGATTTCTTCGCTGATTTTATGAATTATACCTAGATGATTAACGGTTTGTTTCTTCTCAATTTAAACTTTCTTACCTTCCGCTGCAGCTCCATTTCGTGTCTCGAAGTTGAACCCATCGCTACTATGATCGAATATCTAAATGATTGGACTAGGGGTTGGACTTGAATAAACAGCAGATAAGTTGCGGTTAAATTACTAGTTGTTGTAAAAAGGACTGTGTTTTTATAAAGCAGAAATAAGTCCAAACCATGTAGTTTGGAGTGTGCAAATAGAAAAATTTTTGGTTCGCTTTTGTAGAAAACTGCGTTTGATTTGATTAATCGTAAAATACGTGACTGTTTTAAAAGCGCACGTCTGCCCCTCGTGTTTAATATATGTTGTCTAAATGGTACACTGGTGGTAAGAAAGCACAAGTGAACACATATTCACATCACCTGCAGATTTTGAGCTGCATGCTTGAGAATTTAAATTGAAGAGCAGTTGAGTTAGAAATGTAGCCTCTGATACTGAAAACTTTACGAGGAGTAAGCTTAGGGAATATCTTTTTGTGGCGCATTACGAGGCCAAACTGTTCATTCTCTGCATTGTAAGCGGGATCCGCAACAGGCTAAAATCAGATTTGTCGCGGAATCCGCAACATTGCTACTTTTCTTTGATCTTCTTTGCTGTTTTGGATTCATTACAGTTGCAGAATCCAGAACAACTAGCTATATTTGCTTGTTGCGGAACCCGCAACAAAACAATGGGCCGACAAAATTTACGTTACAGGTATTTGTACGCGGAATCCACTGAAATTTTGTAAGTGGAATCCACTTACATTTTAGACCTTTTTTAAAGATTTGTCTCTGGAATCTAGGATCATGCATACGCAAAATTGTGCGCCTATCCAGTGCACAATTTGGCCTCCTAATGCGATTTTTGAAAAATTGATAAGCCAAACTCTCCTGTCAAGTTGTCAAAAGTAGCGAAAAGTCATCCGCTTTCTATCAATTTCTGATCATTCAGTTTTTTTTGTATTTTCTCTCAAAGTCATTTTGTGGTCAATAAAACTAGATTTGGACAATGTGGACTTAAAGGAGCAATTTCTTCGAAATTTTTTTAGACAGGTTTTGGTAGAAATTCTCAAAGTTTCTGTTTTACTTTGATTTTAATTGACGATTAAGCCAAAAAATCTCGGTAACTTCAATGGTTAATAGAAGAAACTTGAGTTGTGCACAGTCAGTCTCTGAAAGTTTTTTCTCAAAGACTGACTGTATTGGCTTTTATTTACAAAATAGAAATATTTAAAAAATTTAAAATTTTGTAAAATAAAAGTTAGAAGATTTCAGTCTTTGAAAGTATATAAAAACTACTGACAAAAACAACTAACAAAGTTTTTAAAACTTCCTTGTCTAGAATTTTCTAGGTTTCGATTTTTAAAAAAGTCAGAAAATTGGTTTTCTTATTTGAAAACTTTTTCCCTGCAGCTTTTAATGTTCCTGTCCGAGAACTGAAAGCATCAATAGAAGTTCTTGCAATGTGTGTTATTGTGAAATATTTCATCAAACTAGTTTACGGGTTTATGATGAATATTATCTTGATTGTTCCCAAAAAAGTTGGTATTTTTTATGAGACTCGAATTGTATGTCTTTAAATGGGAATTAGTTTTGTTCGTGAGTCGGTACTTGTTCGTCTTTTTATGAAAATGATACGCCTCAAAAGTTGTAAGATAGGACAAAAATCCACAAAACTTCGCTTGTATTTTAAAACTCACTCTGCAAGTAGAAAAAACACAACATGATTAAAATTTGGGTGTTTAACGCAAAAAAGGTTTGCAAGAACAGATGCAAAAAAATAATCATCACATACAACAAAAAAGAAGCAGAAATAGGTCTTAGAAAAAAAGTTTGTGTAAACCAAAAACCAAAAAATTTCTCAGATTCAATTACTCAGTCATGGCGACATTCGATAGAATTGATCTGGGATCTCGTCATTTTTCAAAAAAAAAAATCAATTTATTGCAATTTATTGCCCACATCCTGCGTATCAAAATTACTTCGCTTTTTAAAAAAATGGTTTGCTTGCTTTTCAAATCTGATTTTTACTCTCGAAATTCAACAAAGTAGAATAATATACAAAAGATTAAAACTTGAACTAGTGAAACAATTTAGTAGATTCCAAATTCTTCGAAAGACGAAAAAGAACTACTGACGATAAAAACTAACAAACTAGCCTTTAACAAGCGAGAAAATTCAAAATGCCATATTTGAAAATTGGTGTTAGTTGCAAATTTATTATAAATTAAGTTGAATTTTAAAAAAAATATATGATAAATGAGAAAAATCAGTAAAGTTTTTCCAAAAAAACTATTCAGTTATTTAAAAGTTATAGAATAAGAGAATTTTTAAGTTTTCAATAAAATTAAAAATTGTGTATCGACTATAGAAAAATTGATAGATTCATTTTTTAAAATTTTTTTATAATAAGAAACTTTTCATCCTTAGGTCTATTTTTATTGGAGATCTGACGGTGATTGGTTCATAATGCTGGTTTTAATGACAGTCAAACTTGTTAGAGCTATTAAACTCTATCAGCCTTTTTGTGTTTTTTTTCGTTGTTTTCTGGTTTTAAATTTTGGTTGTTTTGACTGAAAACACTGATTTCGTTTTTGATGAGTTGTTCTCTGAATTCAATTTAGCTGTTTGATAGTCAATTTTTGAAATTATTTGTCAAGAATTCAGATAAATCAATTAAATTTCCCGGTCTAAATTGTTTATTGACATCAAAAAAACTAGAACAAAAAGTATATTTTTTTTCAATAAAGAATTTGAAGATCAGAATGCGTACACATTGGTACGTTTTCGTTGTTTCCTATAGTCGACTTGCAGTTTCAGCTACTCTCAAAATCTATAAGAATAACAATGAACTATGGCCTACTTTTAATGAACTACGGCCCATGGCCTCCTTTCTTTTACAGTTACAGATAGCTCAAAAGATTTTCTGGTAATCAAGTTGTGCACTTTACTACTTTTCTACTTGCATAGGATAAGGTTTTAGCAAAAAACCAATACAAAATTGCATTAATAATCGTAGGACAAGGTTTAATTTTGAAGATAACTTGTACAGGTTGTGTTTCTTTAGTTTTTTTTACATGGAATGATACATGAGTCTTAAACAGATCCTGTAAAAAATAAAACTATACCAGATGATACGATGTCGGAAATCTGCTAAAATCTGGCAAAACAATCATTGAATTTCTTGTTTAATTACGCATTTTGGTTTTTGCTACATAAAATACCAGCAGAAGAGTTGATGCATGATGGCAGTAAGCCTTCAGTTACAGTACAGGGCGGATCTAGGATTTTCTCGAAGGTGTTTCAAAAAAATTTCGATGTTGCGAGCGCTACAAAAGCATTCAAAAGACCCTGTGTTGGCCAAAGTTTTAGTGCCGTAGGCAAAATTTAGAAAAAAACAATCCAAAAAAAGGCGTTCTTAGTCACTTTTTGGAACATTTTGACCAAAAAAAATCAATGTTTCGGCGCGCGCTCCCCCCTTAAAATTAGTATATATTGACGTCAAAGGCGCCATTAGAAAATTATTAGGGTCCGTCATCAAACATGGATATCTCAAAATAGTACATAAGGGACAAAGTAGCGGCAAATTTTTTTTTTGAATTTTTCTGATGACATTTTTGCTTTAAAATTTCTTTAGACAAAATCATGTTTCCCAAAAATACACTGTGGGAGGTTAAAATATGAATCAGATGAAGGCCTTGTAGGTGTAATTAAGACTGAAATAAGTAATGCTGTAAATTGCATCTTGGTTAAGAAACATGAGTTTTCTAATTTGTTTCATTACGATGATTTTATTGAAATCAACTCAAGCATTAATCTAGTAATAATTTTTCGTTTAAATGTTTGTGACAAGCAAACTCTTTCAAATCAGATCAAATTTTATCAGCTTTTTTAATAGATTTTGGTTCAAGCTCAAAAGTTACTGTATTGGTCACGTAGAGGATTGATGAGACTACAGTTTGTGGTTAAAGACGGGTCAGCCAATGTCATTTTTGCATACCGGAAATTTTTTTTTGCATGCTGAACTTTTTTAAATGTTATTTCTCAAAAATGAATCTTACCTAATTTTTGTTGGCTTTGCAGCTACCAAACATTTTTTAAAAAAACATTGCGAATTTGGTATTTCGACGAATTACCTTTGTTGTATCTTTAATGTTTCATCTTTAAAAAATATAAGTGTTTTTTATATTTTTTGGTTGCTTTTTCAACCAAAAGCAAAGGTTTATTTAAAAAAAATGTTGTTTCACTCAACCATAATTCATCAACTGAAACTATTTTGATAATTTTTCACAGATATTGTTTACAAGCTCATTTTTAAATCCGTGTTAGATTATTTGGGAAGGTACTGATTCAGCCGTTTTTTGATTAATCGATTTATCAATAGTTTTGTATTGTCAGTCGTGCAGAGCGCCTCTAAACAACTATAAAAGTCTCTACAGCTTTTTTCAGCCAGTACTTCTGATGCGCATAGCAAAAAGAAATACATTGTAAATTTTCAAAAAAGACATTGAAATGATTATAATTAATATAATAAAATAGACATGAAACTAAAAACTGTTGACTTTTTTTGCAAAAAAAACGGAAGATGAACTTGCAACTCTGCGTTAATTATATGGTTTTTTTTTGGTCATGTCACGTTCACGTTCAATTTATTCAGTTTATCTTCAACTTAAAATACCTAATGATGCTATTTGAACAGAACAAAATTTTGCGGTGACCAGTTCGATGGCCCCATTTCATTTCATTTGACAAAACTGCTTCAGGTAAAAGGAAAATTATTAAAATGACGATTTCTTCTATGTGATATAAAAAATTTGCAACCAACAGTAGTATTGTATCGTGTCCCGGATCCTAAGGGGGGTCCTTCCTAAGGGGGGGGGGGGGGGGGGGTCCTCACGTAAAGCAAAATCCTAGGAAAGGGGTCCTTAATTTTTTGGAGGACCCCTATCCTAGGATTTTGTAAACGAAAGAAATTTTCCACCCAAAAAGCAGAAGACCCCCTACTTAGGATCTTGCTAAGTTTAGCTTAACAACAAGGGACACGATACAAAATTCTTTCTAATTCCAATTTTTGGGGTCCTAATTATTGGTCCTGGTTAATTATATGAGTCATATTAATTGTTATATTTGTTTCGGCCAAATGAACTTTCGACCTAGTTGAAATTTGTTAGTGAACGGGGAATTGACTTTTATGGTATATAAGAAAAATGCGCCGGCCAATTTGGCAGCGTAGCTTAACTGTTGGCAGCAGTAAACTATTTCCTTAACTTGACCTAAATTTTATGGTGAAAAGGCAGTAAAATGAAATTAGTCTCAAA